ATCGGACTTATGGACTTGATCTGGACTGGGCTGGGATGTTTTCTCAATATTCAATTGCTCTTGTATATAAAGTTCTTTCTTATACATGAGTGGCTATACATTTTATTTCTCTAGCCTACCCAGACTAACACAGTTGTATAGGCAGAGCATCTTGTTCAAACCTTAGAAAGGAAAACAAGCTTTCTCATGCACAGAACACTATTTTTCCCATAAAAAAATTATTAATTGGGAGTTAATAGATCTATATATCATTCCATTGTTCAATCACATCAAGCAGAATTGTACAATTGCTACCATAATCAGTTTCCAACATAACACTAACTTTTAAAACAAAGCATTCTTCTTTTGGAAACTCATTTCTGCAATGCTTTCCCTAGCCCTCCCCACATCATCTCTCTGACCCATAGTAATAAACTAGAGAGTACAGACTCAGGAATAAGAACCTCTTGGACTGTTCTCAGCCTTGCTGTCTCCTAGATGTAAAGTTACTTAAACCTCCAGGGCCCTCAGAGTAAGACAGTACCCACAAACCATGTAACCCTGTGCCCAGGCTTACTAGGTTTCCAACTAGTATGAGTTTCTTCCTTTTTTTTTTTTTTATTAAACAGGTGATTCACCATCAAAGCTCATTTTTAAAGAAAGACGCCGTGCAGGATACTGTCTGCTTTCCTTTCCTCACCTCTGCATCACCGAGGATCTGTAAACATTCTTCATTAGGCCGAGGCTCCTCGGAAAGTGCAATGTCAGATTCCCGTGTCTCCAGTACTGGTGCAGAATCAAGTACAGAGGAGTTACCAATCACAAATGTAGCTCTGCTGGTGTCAGTTACTGTCACTAAGGGTTTTATAACTTCAACTGTTCAAGAGATCAAAAGAAATTGCAAAACACTGAGCACCAGATCAACTGTTTCACTATTCATTGCTGGAGAACAGAGGGTACAAAGAAGAAAAGTCACCTTGGCTTTCCCGGTGGATCCCAGTCTCCTCTCCCACTGTGTGAACTTTCTGGTTACTTCTGACCAGTGTAGGTTCACGTCTGCAACAGCTGTCTGGCACTTTCTTTTGGGTCACTATAGGAGATGTGATGGGGTTTTTTAGCGACAGTGTAGATTCTGTCTCTGCTTGTTCAAAGAAGATGTATTTGACAGCCAGAAGAAGAGCTAAACTTAGAGTAATGACTTGTTCAATATCCATGCTGACCATCCTAAGTAAAAGAGCACACATTAAACTATGGTTCAGAAGCAAGATAAAAGGCACCATCTAACCTGCTAAAAGCACAGAGTTCTATGATTCACCTATAACAAGATAAACCACGTTTAACTTACTTGGAGAGATAAAATTGCCAGAGGGAGACATTTGGTTCAATTCTCTTGGACACATTTTCATCCAATCCTAGTGAAACCTTAGAATTTTCTACTGTACTGTTTTGAGGAGAAGGATCAGCTATCCAGCGACTGTGAGCATGAACGAGAACCAGGCCTAGAGACTGAAATACAGTTTTAAGAATTTTAAGTGACATAAAGCAACAGTTAGAGCTACAGTCTTTAACACTATGAAAAAACCTTAAGCAACAGTTAGATCTATGGTCTTTAACAGTATGAAAAATTAGTTATTCTACATGAAATATCTGCCTTCTTATGTTATCGATCAATGGGACCATTTTTATGTCCCACAACTGGACACTAGATACTATCGTTCATGGCCTCCCCTTATCAGAGTCCCTGAATTTGCAATGTGACTAACACAGTGACCCCACTATTCTACTGAAAACACCTAAAGCACATGTTTTCAGAGAAGGGAGAGGAACTTGAAGAATCTGTTTCGTGGAGAGAGACTAACAAAGACTAAAAACTCTCAAGGAAATGAAGAACAACTGAAGACAACACTAAGAATGATTTGAAGAGTCAACTTTGAACATAGGAGTAGACAAGGCAGTTTAGAAAAAAACCAGTAAAACATGACATTGAAGAAAAAGAAACCCATGTAATTACCATAATCATCTTGACCCTCTGAGTTACAGGATTTGGCTTATTTTCTTCTTCTTCTAAAACTCGTGCAAAATGGCTGAGCTGCCAGATAGGACGACCCTCACGGCTTTCCCGAGAAAGCTGAAAAGTCAGTCAGAGTGACATTAGGTACACTAATCTACTTAAGTAAACTTATGTAATTATAAATATTACTCTACTCAAGCCCAGAGTGAGAACTGCTCTTACCTCTAATACCAAAGACACACAAGCTGGAAAGAAAGTCATGAACACAAAGTAGTTGGCAAGAACTGACATACAGCCAAAACAGCACATGATTTCAAGTTGACGCACCCCTGTTAAAAAAAATTAGATTTACTTTTAGTATTTATATTTTTAATATTGTATATATTGCAAGGTCTCTTCCTGTGGATAAGCAAATATATGGCTATATTAGTGCAATAACTTCTTTGCCATCTACTGGACAAATAATTGGCAATTCAGAGGCATCACCACGCCTCACAACACAGTAAAACTAACTACTGAAAGGCAGAGACCTTGTCTTCTCCCTTCTCCCCAACATCACAATGCTAAGCACAAGAGTGATGTTTAACTAACACTTGATAAGCATATGTTTCCGATCACCGTTTGTTAAGCAGTAGGATCTTAATCTTTTGTTGTAAGATAAGGGTACACAGGCTACTCTAATGAGGCAACATCCCCTACAGCTATACTGTTGATCCAATTAACACAAAAGGAATTTGTCTGCGGACCAAGGATCATAAACGTTTAGTAAAACATATTGCCAGTTACACTACTTCTGGTATACCATCATAATATATAGTGAATGTGAACAACTAAACTCTAATTCCAATACAATTTCTATGGTGCCTGTTGAAGTCTCACATTGATTTGTCTAAAAGTTATATAATTAATTTAAAACAGCAACTCAAAATGAAAATTTGATAAATATTCCACTACACACTGTTTAAGGTTTATTTGGTAATATCAAATAAAAGATAAAAGAGAGCAGGAAAAGACCTCAGATTACCTAATTCTACTCCCTCACATTACAAATACAAATATATGTGAGTAATACATAAAACATATACATGTTTATATAAATGTGTATATAAAGTTTATTCTTATTGGACAAAGCTTCCTTTACTCTTATTAAAAACAAAGTATTTTACTCTTATTAAACAAATCTGCTTTGAAATGCAAATAAAAATTTATTTTCTTTGCCCATAAAAAGTAACTAGAATAATCAACACTAAACACTTATGATGCTCCATTAACTGAATAAAAACTCACTGTGGTAGTTACATAATCTGGTGTCAGTTTGAGGAGCACGGGGGTAGTGGTGGAGTCGAGCCTGTGAATCTGGATATAGCCAATGAGGCCTGTGAGGCCTCTTCTTGGATGCCTTCTTCTGAGGATTCTGGGAACTCCTGTATTTCCTCAGTGGAGGCAGTAGACACACTCTCTCTCTCCTTACTTCCTGCTAGATATCCCTGAGAAGCCACATGAACCTACCCTGATGCAGCCCTAAGAGCTGGAGAAGCCACGTGGAGACCTCTGCCAGCACTGAGATGCTTACAACGCCACTGGATCCATAAGACTTCCCACCCACTGGCCTGTGATCTTCCTGCACTAGGCGTCATTGCATCTGATTCATGAGTCTGAAGAGGACTTTATACATTGGTATCAGACATATGGGCTAATATTAGACTTATGAACTTTATCTGGACTGGGCTGTTTCCTCAATATTCAATTACTCTTATATAAAAAGCTCTTTCTTATGCACATATGCATGTTTATGAATTTGTTTCCCTAGTCTATCCAGACAAACACACTATCACCTAGTTGTTTCTGACTCATAGCAACCCTATAGGAAAGCCCAGGTGGGCTTCCCAAACTGTAACTCTTTACAGGGGTAGAAAGCTTCATCTTTCTCCCACAGAGCAGCTGACCTTTGAATTAGCAACCTGATTTGTATACACTATGCCACCAGGGTTCCTTCAGTATGGATTACAACTCAGTTTAAAGAAAACAAAAATCCTTATAGCTGGACCAATAGGTAACATCATAGCGGAGAAAAGATTGAAGTTGTCAAGAACTTCACCTTGCTTAGATCCACAATCAATGTTCATGGAAGTAGCAGGCAAGAGATCAAACAATGCATTGTATTGGGTAATTCTGCTGCATAAACAAGTTATTTTAAGGATTAAGGTATGCCTGACCCAAGCCATGGTATTTTCAATGGTCTTATATGCATATGAAAGTTGGATACTGAATAAGAAAAACCTAAGAATTGATGCATGTGAATTATATGCTAGCGAAAAATATTGAAAGTACCATGGAATGCCAAAGAAAAATTATCTCGGAATAATGTTCCTTTAGAGGCAAGGATGGCAAGACTTCATCTCAAATACTTTGGACGTGTTGTCAGGAGACACTACTCCCTGGAGAAGGACATCATGCTTGGCAAACTAGAGAGGCAATGGGAAAGGGGAAGGTCCTCAACACAATGGGCTGACCCAATGGACACCACAATGGGTTCCATCGCAAGAACAATGGCAAGGACGCGCATGACGAGGCAGTGCTACGTTCTGCCGTACAGTCACTAAGAGTCAGAAGCAACTGGATGGCTTGTTAACACCATTAAATAATAGAATAAAAGCAGGCTTTTGTTGTTGTTTGGCTTTAATTTTATAATAATTACTCTCAAATTCAGAAATTAAAAGGAACACAAAATTACAATAACAAAAACACTATGAATAGCCTCCAATTTAAACGGTAGCTGAATCTAACCTTTCAAACGAAAGCACGCTTTACCAATGCTTTGACAACATAGGTACTACCACTTTTCTTTGTACAATGGTAACTCATGCTGTTGCATTATGTTCTTCACGAAGCCTGCCTTAACAGCCCTATAAAATCTAATGGTAGATTAAATAACTCAATAAATAAGAATAAATTTACCCTGAGGACACTAGAAGAAATAGTATATACTTAACAGATATGTATTTAACATATATAATATCCAGTGGGAGGGTGGGAATAGGGGTGAAAAACAGTTTAAACTGTTGAATGCAGAGCTGATGCTCTAAAATGTAAACACTCCCTACACAATAAATTTTTTTTTGTTACCTATCTAAAAGTTAGGTAACTTACTTCTGAAAGAAGGAAGCCCCTTATTGAGAACACTCAATTTGTTATTCAAAGAACTAGAAGATTATTAAAAGCTACACAATCAAGTCCTGACAATTAAGAAACCTCTACAATCATAATACATTCATTATGGCACATTTCCATGCCAGGTCCTAATTTTCATCCTCTATAGGAATGATGTAATATGTATGTTAAGACTAATGCTGGCTAATTGCGAAAATGTATGAGATACTACTCTGATTAAATTTGTCCAACTGCCCCCATAGGCATTTCCATGTCGGATCTATTGGACTCCAGAATCTCTTACATTATCTTCTATATAACAATTATTAAGATGCAAGGAGCCAAGTCATTAATTTAGTCTAGAAAAGAACAGGGTCTGGTAACTTCTTTCCCAATGGGCTTTGGAATACAATATTGGGTTTTTAAAAAAAATCAAGGACACAGCTATTAAAAAAATGGGGTGAAAGAGAAAACAGTGGGAAATAAATCAATAGGCTGTTACTAAGTTTTCACCGAAGCATGACAAACACAAAGCACAAAGTCAGGCACAGCCACACATTTGTCCAATGCAAAAACTGTATGAGCAATTAATATCAGACTATAAAAAAGTCAGAATTTAAGAATAAGCAGAGCAAAACTAAGATAGTTTTTTCTCTTTAATTAAATAATTAACTTTTCATATATTAAAATTGCTTACTAACCTGACATTGTACCCACTCCAATCACAAGACATTCAACGAGAGCATCAAGGGTGAATGTGGGACCTAAAATTGCCATTCCACGAGCAATATTTTCCCTTACTTCATCCTTAAATACAGAACAAACACATCAAGGAGGGGAAGGTGCAAAATAATATTTTCTAATATAAGAGGGAATTCTAGGGTTTACACTAAATCTAATTTATATTAAAAGAAAACATTAAAATATAACCGTTACTCCAGATGCAAAGTCCATCAACATTATAACTTTTTAAAAAAGGAAACATAATGCCCTGCCATCTCTTTCCACTGATGAGCTCTTTCCTGCCATTTAAAGCCCCCATGATTAAAATCCTACAAAATTTTACACTTTGGCGACAAGATCGGTGTAGTTGTATTTTTATGAGATCATGTTAGAATTATAAAACCTAAATAATGTCCTCTCAACATGTTCAAATAATCAATCTATTTTCATAGGATCATAAATATACTCATCTAGCATTTAAATAAGGCAGAACAATATACCATTTTATACTCAGATACAAAATGCAATATTGTCTTAAAAATTGTTATACTCTTAAAATGACTAATACATGTAAGGATGAAACGTTCTATGGGAAAATATGGTAGTGTTAACTGAAGTGATTTAGAAATAAGTCTACTGAGGCTTCCTTTCACTAGATCCTGCCCTATGAAGAAACTCTAGGAATCTTTCTTATTAATACAAACAAACTAAAGGAAAAAAGGGAACTATTACTCTTATTCTGGTCTTGTAAATAATGCTTACCTGTGAATTCGAACTCAGGGCAAACTTTGCTAATGTGCTTGCTCTGGAAAGATCAATCAAAAGTAGGAAAAATGGCAATGCTTCACTGGGGAGAAAAAAAATCAAGACAATTAGGAACATTTAACTAAGAAAAAACGGTTTCAAAATTTCTTAGTAAAACATATGTTTTGTTCCCTACAGGTGGTATGATATTCCACTATATATATTATGTGCACTAATACATGTATCTTCCTGCAGACTGGGCATATTCAATAGATACTTCTTTGGTATCACTCAAGTTATGGGATTTCCCCCATATTTTCTAAATGTTTAGAAATATATATATATACAAAAACTTTATAACAAGGGGGGCAGCTCTTCAAAAACATGATGAAAGAAAGTATAGTTAGGCTATAAATACTTACTTCAAGCCTGTCAATTCTTTATCCAAGAAATGAATGACAACTGTACTAAATACAAAACTTGAGAAAATTGTGAAGAGGCCAGCAATACCTAAAATGACAAAAATCAACAAACTGAAAAAGTTTAATCTTTTATTGCACAAATAACATTTAATCTCATATAATATTTTGAGAAAAATACTATTTTTCACTAGATTATTAAGGTCTCACATGTATATGTTTAATCCCACATAAGAAACTACTAAAGGCATGCAGCACACTTCTAGCAATACATGTCTCCACACACATGATTTTAAACAAGCAGGTGTAATTTGACAGCTAAAATAAAAAGCCTGATAGCACACAAAGAAGTTAAATATGTAAATTCATTACCTAAAATATATTTTGATCCAAGTTGACGTAAATTCTGGAACTGGAAATAAATATAAAGGATTGCTATACACCGTGTTATTGTTAGAATTATAATGTCACTGCTCAAAACATCCTATTGGGAAAGAGAAAAAACAAAACAAAATAAATAAATTTCAACTAGCTTTGGCTTTTAAAATAATCACCAAGAAGAGCTTTTATTTTGTATGCATCATTCATTGACATATTATAAATGTAAGAATACCATGACAAAAATGTGCAGTTAAGTCAAAATGTACATCTGATTTTGAAACAATTCATGTGTTCAGTCAATATACCACCACAATATCTTCTAATTGTTAGTTACTTTTAAGACGATCTTTCTCAAATAAAAGCCAATGACACTCATTTGTACAGAAAATGCAAAAGAAGAGCATTGCTAAGGCATTTCCGTGACATCTAAGTAAATGGGGATTTTAGGTAAGCTTATGAATACTAAGAGATTTTGATTCTGTGGTCTCCTAAATGAGACACTCTTTAGAAATGAAAACATTAGTCAATATGAAATAAATTTCACTAACCTCTTCAAACTTTGGACACTCATAATTCCAACCACAGATCTTATCATTACCAGTAAACATGTTCATGGACATCAGACAGATGGTCAGTGTCACCGTCCCCACTATGACTTCCCAGGGATGGGAAGCCACAAAGAGGCCGTGCATTCGAAAAAGTCTTGATAACATTGTTGCTACAGGGTCCTTAGATCCTAGAAGGAATATCAAGCAAGAACACTTAGATGGTTCACTGTATTTTTAGGGATAAAACAAAACTCAGTACCACCTAGAGTCGATACAGGCACATAGTGACCCTATAGGCAAGGGCAGAACTTCCCCTATGAATTTTTATTTACAGGAGTAGAAAGCCCCATCAGTCTTTCTCCTGAGTAGCTGGTGGTTTTGAACCATTGACCTTGTGGGTAGCAGCCCAAAACATAACCAGCAATGCCACAAGCGTGCTTCTATTTTTAGGAAAAGAGGGCTGCTTTGTATGCACAGTGCCTTAGACTTATGAATAACACCATCTGATGATGGTCCTCCTAATTCCATTAGAGATTATTGAAAAGGACTCAATCTATTACTTCTCTACTCACAACACTTAAACCCTTAATTAAAAGTAATGAGTTAATTAACAAGTTAAAAGTAACATTCTTAAAAACTGTTATACATAGAAAAGAATACAAAGAAAATTTAAAAAATTGTTATACATATTTCTTAAAAGTGATCAATTCAAACATCTAAAATCAAACCAAATAAGTATCTCAGTCCTGAGATATCTGAGCTATGGATGGCAGTGGGAGCCCAAGATCCATTTGTGGAACTACATGGGAAATAAGCCTCTGTCTACAATTGAGGGATAGGAAAAAGTGGTTACTAAACAGAGTGCCTTGAGTATAGAAGATCAAAGCCATAAATTCAACTTGAAGAGTTAAAACTTTGTCAGCAGATCCCCACATGATGCATGCTGGACCTGATTTGGCTTCCAAAATTTTCTGTATTTTTAGTTTGCTTTTTATTTGTACATATTAGGGGGTATCTCAAAAGAGTTAGGTCGTTGGGGCGACCCTCTTGAAGTTGTGTTATGTTTTTCGTTTCTAAGTATATGAAACCCAGGATTGATAAACCTATCAAGATAGCAAGTAGAATGAGGGATTAG